AGGTTGGAAATATTATTTATATATTTTAGAAAAGTGAAGTTTAACATGGATAAATGGAATTAAGGTCGATTTTCCATGTTAAGCCAAAATTTTGGAATTAGGTGACTAAATTGCAAATTTCAAAAATTGCAAGGACAAACATGAAAAATTAGAATCAAGATATTTTCTAAATTTGATGATGTAAGTGATGATGACATAAGTGGCATGGATGAAATTATTAAGTTTTATTAAGGGCAAAATGGTAAAATGTATTAAATGAATTTTAAATTCATTTATATTTTGTAGTGACAAGTGTATTAAGGGATAATGTTTAGTAAATTGAAGAAAATCTCAGCTTCTTCTTCTCCAGAGAGACCGAAACTTCAAGTTCAAAAAGGTAAGAACTCTAGTTTTATTTTTGGTCTATTTTTATTAGAATTTTATGTTAGGTTATTAAGGATAAATAACCTACATGAAATTCTCTTTCATTTGACATAAATATTGTTATGGTTTATGTTTAAATTCATCTTGAGTTGATGAAGAGGATGTTGAGTTCTTGTGTTTTAGGGATTATGAAGAGTTAAGTGATTTTAAAGAATTGGTTGTAAGAATTGATGAAGAATTTAAGGATGAAGTTAATGAAAACAGTTTAGATTTTGAATTTGGAAGTGAGTTTGAAAATTCACCAGAAATTCTATAAAAATTATTTGGAGGTGATTTTTATATATTATGTTATTATATTAATCTAGTTTTGTTTAAAACAAACGGTGATCAATTTAAGGGTGTATAAAAAATATATGATTTTTTAACCGATGAAAGGTCAGAAAACGGGCAGCAGATTATGCACAAAACAGGTTCTGTCAGTCAACTTTGAAAATTCACCATAAATTGTAAAGAATGAATTAGAATGAATTATTTATATGGATAGATTCGTATTCGAGTCTATTTTTCAATGGAAGAAACGGAATTAAATTTCAGTGAGTATATCAGTACAAAATATTGATTCTTTAAAGATAGTACAAGTTGTCTGAATATGAAAATTTTTAGAATTTAAGTTGAAATGGATTAGAATATGAAGAATAATGTTTAAATGTTGAGTATATTTTTGGATGCTTGGAATTGAAGTTAAATGGCAAGAGACCATTTTGAATAAATTGGAAATGTTGAGAAGAATTCTAAAAGAATTCATTTTAATGGTTAGATGGTGGAATTCGAAAGGTTCCAAAACTTTGGGGACTTGTTTACAAGTTCTTAAATGAAGAAGTATTATTTGGGTATTTTATTCAAGTGCTGGAATTTTAGTAATTAATGTACAATTATCATAATGGCGAAGGATCATTATGAATTAAAGGAAAAGCTGAGTTGAATTTTAGAAAGAATTCAAAATATGTGGGTTGAAGTTATAATGAAGTTATGAGTTAGGTTGATATCGATTTAGTTATCGATTTTATTCTATAGATTTTCAAATGTCAAAAAAATGAGTTTATGTTAGAATGATACTAATATGTAGTTTAAATATTTTGTGTTATAATTTGGTATTGTCAGATTACAATAAAACTAGCAATCCGAACAATCTGAAAGGAAATGACAAAGCTTGTGACTAGTATTATCGTATACAAGTTCTGTAGTGAGGCAAAGGTGAGTGCAGTTTATTTATTTAATTATTTGATCGAGGATGACTTGCAATAAGTCAACCTCACATTAGTTATTTCAAATATATGAATTATGTTTTGACTATGGAAGTATATCCGTAATATTGTTAATAAGTTTTATGAATGATTTTGGGTATGAACTGCCCATGTCATATTTTACGAATGTGAATTAAATATATTTCTGATTATGATATGATTTTTTTATCAAATGATTACGAAATGACTAAAAAGCCCACTGTATGTTATATGGAGAGTCATAGGTACAATTGACATGCCATGAGGTGGAGTGATTATATGTTCTGATTTTGATATACTGTGGTGTACCAAAGTGTACACTAGTATATATATTATGGTCTGAATGCACTTGGTGTGCATATTGTTTTTTCCGATGTTATAGCACTGTGTGTGCTTATCTGTTCCGACTCTGATGATCTGAGATCTGTATTGCGCACACTTGTCTGACTCACGTATCTTATATTCTCTTAAAATATACTTTGGGCTATAAAAATGAAATAAGAAAGTTCTGAAAAGTGTCTGACTACAAAGAATTTATGAACTGATTATTCTGTCTGATCTGATTATTTATGATCTTGTGAAAATTATCAGATGATTATTTTCAGGTTTATGATAAAGTTCAACATGAGATATATGGTTTGAATGTTCTGAAGAATTTCAGTCTGTTTTATTTTAATGATTTTATATATTTTGATATTTTATTTAATTATTCTCACCTTTAGTATTATTGCATCACTAAGTTATACTTAGCGCATGATTTTCATGCGTAGGTTCTAATAAGGATAAGTACGATCAGTAAGGAGCTATCAGAGCATCTTTTGGAAAGACATACATATCATCAGTATCAGTAAGACATCTATGATGTTTCTTTTGACTTATAGTGGCATGTATAATTATGTCAGTAGTTTCTAATTATCGTATTTATTTTAAATAAATTGTAATAGTAAACTAGAACTATTTTAGTTTATTTTACTTAGTTTAGTTTTATCGGTAACTATGTATGACAAGAATTTATTACATTATTATGTTTTTAAAAGGTTTTACGAAAAGACATGGTTTAGTAAAATTACTGAATAAATAATGAATTTATTTTCATGTAATAAAGAAATAAATTATAATCTGAAATATACTTTAAAATAGATTTTTAAAGTTAGAACAAGAGTATTTTCAAAAGAAACAAATTTTTACGGAAATTTCAGTTCAGTAAATGTTTTCAGTTTAATGTGACATCTTTAATTCGTATATCGAGATATATACGGGTTAAGGGTATTACATCTTACATTACCAATAGTGAATTTTTGGGGGTATATTACCGAGAATGTCATTAACTCCCTTTTCTTAGGTATTGTTGGATTACCTGCATTTTGGACTAAAATACCCTTTAATTTTTTTTCTTCAAAAATATCCTTATTCTGTCATTGAATAATAAAAATTCTACGAAGGTTAAATTACAAATTTATCCTTAAACTATTTTAGATTTATAAAAAAATTATAATTATAATTTTATATAAAGTTTAAGGGTTAAAATAAAATTTTACCCTTTTATTTAACCTTTTTATATTTTCAATTTTGTAAAAAATATATATAAATTTTATGAATTTAAATTTTTTAAAGAAAATATATAAATATTTTTCAACTTGTTAAAAAAAATAAATATATAATAAGGATAATTTGGTTAATATATATTCCAATAATCTTTTATTCTTTTAACCAAATACGGTAATCTTACATTCCTGCTAAACCAACCAAACACAAAATATAATATTCCCAGTAATCTTATTCTCTGATAATCTTTTATTCCCACTGATAATCTTACATTCCGTGAACCAAACACACCCTAAGTACGTGACAAATTGTATGTTACCTTACTAATGGTAGAAGTCAAGAAGAATAGAATCTAGAAATTGTTCATGATGTTTGTTAGGTACACCAAATTGTCCAGTCCTGTCCTGTCCTGTCCGGTCCGGTCCAAAACTTAAGTATCCAAGAAAAAAGCAAAAGAAAGAGGCAACAAAGAATCCAAGACAAGACAAGCTATTACTTGTGATTGATTCAAGCAAAGCAAAGGCAATTAATCCCAATGTCTGAAATACATTATTTCTTATTACTAATTAACAATACTCCACCAAACTATCATAATACCATTGTAACAAGCAGCATTGGAATATAGATAATCATTTCATAGCGACATACATGGATGTTGAATTGATTAATTTGATCATCTATTAGAAATCAATACTCATGGTTTGTCTTTGTTTATTTTATATAAATTCTGACATGCAATTTAAATTTTATGGTTCAGTTTATAAATTTAATTTGGATATTATATTAACATTTAATTATTAATAATACTTAATTAATTATCACAAATTGATTTAATTATTGATGTCTAGTATCAAAGAAACCTAACACGCCATTATTATTTATTAATCTATGGCTTTGCTTTACTTAGGCCTTACACAATATATACTACTATGTTATATGCTCCTATTATATGTATTATAGTATTATAGTATTATTGATTGTAATATAATTTCATTTGCCGATGGGGACCCGGTGGGCTACACCTCCAATCAAATCTGTATTTTAATTGTCACCATCTATTTTTAATCATAAAAATTACAAGTTCTGAAACAATTCATTCATAATTGTAGTAGAAATAGTGTAATGTTTAAGTAGATAAATAATACTATAAATATTAGTTTAAATTGACTAAATATTACGTTTTATCTTAAATGACATTAATTTTTAATTTTAAATATAAAATATAACATTCATATATAAATCTAAATATTTACATTAAATAACATATTTTATTCATTGAAAAATATCTTTCAGAATAATAAATACAAACAATTATATTTTCAAATATATAATATCATAATTCAATGTTATAATTATATCACATAATCATAAAAAAAACTTGAAATCACTAGGAAGCAACAAATATAAAACCGTAAAATTATTATAATTATATTAGTCCTTTAACTTGTTCATTCTTTACATTTATATTGGTACCAAACTTTTTTACTCACATTAGAGTACAAAGACTAAAATTACAAAATTAGAGTACAAGGACTAAAGCCACAATATACATACACTAGAAGGATTAATATAAGCATTTTAAATAAACTTTAATAATATAAGTAAATACCCAAATAAAAATTCCAAGTCAAAGTCAAAGAAAAAAACATGCCTTGTTGCCAACATAAGCCGAGAAGCGCATTAAGCACCGTCAAGCGCCATAAGCCAACGATTTTTTTCTCTGTTTGTCCATTTCTTCACCACTTTTCAAAGTTTTATCCTTTCACCTTTTGTACTTTTATTTATTTATTTATTTTCTATTCCTTTGATTTGGTGAGGAGCACTGAGCAACCACTTGACTTTCCCTTCCTCCCAACAAAGACATGAAAGAGAAATCAAGATAGATTTTTTTATGATACGAGTGAAGATTAAAAGAAGAGAAAATCATGAGAATGGAATGGGAAGGTGAAGAACGTCATCAAGAGAATCAAACCCAGAGAGATATCGTGAATGTAAATGTGAATAATGGTGGAGTAATGTATGTCAAAGTGATGACCGATGAGCAGTTGGAGACTCTCAGGAACCAAATTGCTGTTTATGCCTCCATTTGCGAGCAGCTCGTTGAGATGCATAAGAATCTCACCGCCCAGCAAGATCTTGCAGGCCTCTCTCTAATCCTCTCCCCCTTGTATCCATTATATGCTTGTCAAGCTCTTATTTATGGCTTCTCTCATCTCATATCATGGCCTTTTTCTCTTCCTTTTTGTCATCATCTAAAAGAAATTTGCTCAAAGGTCTTTCTTTTTTCCACTTGGATCTTGTGTTCTAAGTGATGGTGGAAATGGCTTGGCATTGGCTTTGATAGAAGACTTTTCTTCTGTATTGGTTTGGGTCAATCAGCACTGCTTTGGTTCACTTGGGTCAATTTCTTGTGAGTTAAAATACCCATTTAATGCTTTCTTTGTGAAGAACAATGATTCTTCAAATAAGATAGGGCCAACTACTTTTGTTACTTTTGAGGTTGCCAATGATTGATTCTTCTAGTATCCACTTTCTGATTTGTTTAATGACAAGGATGTTCTTAGTCTAGCTTCTTTGGTTGTCTCCTAACAATTGATGGGCGGTGTTGTATGTGAATATGTTTTTGTTTAACCTTCATAGCAATTTTGAATTTCTGGGAAATGATGGTTATGTTGTTTAACTCGGATGCTTGATCGTCTCTCTCGCAGGTGGCAGGCTGGGAAACCTGTATTGCGACCCTTTAATGGCATCTGCTGGGCACAAAATTACGGCTAGACAGCGGTGGACACCGACTCCGGTGCAGCTCCAGATTCTGGAACGTATCTTCGATCAGGGGACTGGAACTCCGAGCAAGCAAAATATCAAAGAGATAACCTCGGAGCTGATCCAGCATGGGCAAATTTCCGAAACGAATGTCTATAACTGGTTCCAAAATAGACGGGCTCGGTCCAAAAGGAAGCAACTGGGGTCATCATCCAACAATGCTGAATCAGAACAAGAGACGGAAGTAGAGTCACCGAATGAAAAGAAGAATCTTCTCTCTCAGCAGAACCATGCACCAAGTGCTGAAGATCTGTGCTTCCAGAACCTTGAGATATCCCCCGAATTGCATTTCTTGAGTGTCATGTCCAATCCAAATGCATACGATGGTAAGCACCGAGACTCCTATCTAAATGATGCTGTTCATGGTCGATTCTGCAGTTCTGCTACTGCTAGCTTGTAAGCACTGGTTTCATATTACATCCCTATGTAATGATGCAGGAGATGAACACCTGTCTGGAAAAATGGGAATGCCGGGGAACTACAATATTTATGACCAGGCAGAAGACTAACGCATGGCAGGGTGAGACTCGGATTGGTGGGCTAGGGTCGACAGTGGAGACGAAGAATTCGGTTTAATCATGGAACACGACCATGCTTAACATAGTAAAGCTAATACTTGTAGTTTGAACATGAGATGAGCCAGTTAAGCTGGAAATAGACTTCTTAGTATGATTTCTGTAGTGTGCCATTGTGTTTTGTCTTTGTTTCTTTTTGTTGATAGAAGGAACCCCATGAATGTTTTGGCGAGTTCATTGAAACTAGGATCATGCTTGATTTTGCCTTAGTTGATGATTCTTCGGTTTGAATTTGATAGTTGAACTTTGGACATTTTAACATATGTTGGTTGGATAAATTTGTGTAGATACATAAATGGTCACAAAATAAATAAACAATGAAGAGATTATATATATATAGAAAAAACATTAACGGGACACAGTTAGTTGATCAATTGCTTGGATATCGATTCATGCTTAGATTATATTACATCTCTAAGGAATGACGCAAGAGATGAACAGTTGTCAGAAAAAACGGGAATACCTAACGTACGGAGACCATTGCTTCCAACACATATATTCATTTTTTCCTCTCAATTTTATTTCTTTACAGATTGAGTCATGTCGCAAACTTTCTGAGTCGGATTAAGACGAAATTCGGGTTACGAAGTTCCAACACTAATATTATTAATTATTATTAGTTTAGCAAGATAAAGCATTATCATGTTTGAATCTTTATGTTATGCCTAAAATAAAATAAATTAATAAAATTATCTTATAATAAATCTTTATATCCGTCAATTTAAATAAATTAATTAACAAATCAAATCCATGTGATTACAAAACAAAATATACTTACGGGGAAGTCTCACGTCAGACAACCTAATATACGACTAAGGAAAGGCGGTACCGGAAATATTATTATTATTTTTAACATTTATGGTAAAAAATTACCTGAAACATTATTTTTTTCTACCAGAAATGTTATTATTGGACGCTTTATCGGGTTTGTTAACATATCCGGTAAAGCGCTACCTAAAATATTATTTTTTCTATTAGAAATGTAAATATTGGACACTTTACCGAAAATATTAAAAAATATTAATGTTTTAAGTAAAAAAATAATGTTTCCAGTAATTTTTTATCGAAAATGTTAAAAAATAATAATATTTCCGATAACGCATTTTTTTAACCGTATATTAAGGACTTATGACAGAATTTCCCATATACTTACATACCTTACTTACCTAGACTTTATTTTCTTAATTAGTTTTTCATTTTTATCCTTAGAAAAATTTAAGGGTAAAATAGAAATGAAAATCCAAAAATCTCATCCTCAGATTAAATCAATCTTTATATTTTATCATTCCTTTATATTTTATCATCCCCTTCACTTTCTCATTCCCTGTACCTCCTTCGGCCCGGAAACCATTTATCTCCAGAACCTTGAAATACCTTTTGGTATTTCAAATTTCCCCACACAAAAACAAACCCTAATTGCTATCTCCTCAACTCTATCTTTATCTACAATCCTAAAACAAAACTACTTTCTTTATTTTCCGGATATATACATATAGTCAGGTATTTCAATCAAAATTCAGTCATTTTACATTCCCTCTTTGTTTTCATTTACATCTCATCGTTTTCATTACTAATACTATTACTATATTACATCGTAATCATCCCTCTACAAACCCCGGATTTACGTTGTTTGCCTCTGTGTCTTTGTTTTAATCGCTCAGCCTTCCTATTTCAATTTGGCTATTCATGGTAATTGCGAGATCATCAAATTTTCCATTGGTTTTACTGGTAATTCTACAAAAGAATCTTTAGATAGGGTTTTCAGGCTTTCATTCATTATGTCATTATCAACGAATGAAGCATCTTTCAATGATCACCTGCTCGCATTTATGCTATTTCCAAACTGGGTTTTTATTTATTTATTTATCTGGGATTCTTTTTATTTGTTTTTTGGCCTTATAATTCAGATTTTCTTTTTGGGTTTTGTTTACCATTTAACACTGAATCCATGATTGTTGATGTTATAGAATCAATGTGAATTTGAGCGGTTGGATTATCCTTGTAAATAATTTACTCATTCTCTTGTACTTCAGATCATATAATAAGCTGGATTTAATGGAGGCTAACATTTGTGAAATTAATCACTTGGATGCCGATGTCCTTTTGCCTCCTCGGAAGCGCCTGTTGGCAGGTTTTAAGAAACAGGCTTCGAATGCAAATGCCACTTCAGATCAGCCAATAGCTGCTTCTTCCACTTCATCTCCTTCACCTCCTTCACCACCTTCACCATCATCTGCTACGTCATCAAGTGATGTTGATGCTCATCTTAATAACTTATTGAGTCCCCGTTTGAATAACCCTAACCTTTCTCCAGAGGAGATTTTCGAGGCCTCGAGAACAGCAGCTATTGCGGCCGCCAAGGCTGCTGAAGCTGCCAGAGCTGCAGCAGAGGAGAAGGCTGCAATTGCAGCTAAAGCTATCGCTGCGGCTAAGAGTGCATTGGACATGGTAGCTACATTTTCTGAAGATGCCGGTAGTAAGGATAGATACCTTAAAAAGAATAAGATCAAGAAGCATGTCCCAGTTCAAGTCTTATACAAAAAACACCAACCGATTGAGAATTCTAGGGTAGATGAAGATTTAGCCCAAAGGTTGCACCGAGCAATCAATCGTTCTTCGAGAATCTCAAAAGGTTCACCAATTTCTGAATGGAAAGGTCATCAACACAAAAGGCCTAAGAGCTTGCCAACTCTTGAGAGCACAAAGGTCCCCAATGGGGGCATTGTGTTGAGAGGAAGCCCCTCTTCCACATGCAATGGAAGTACTATGGAAGCCGAAATCAATTCTGATGACTTGGTTAGGGAGCATGTAAAGGTAGCCAATGAAGGAAAATCGGGGCAGTCGGTGTTGGATAATGGTGAAGCAGAATCGGGTTATTCAAAGGAAAAAGCTTGCAAAGAAGCATATCCTTCCGGTAAAAAGAGGGGAACATTAAAGCTCAAGAAGTTGCCCTTGAGCGTTTGTTCTTACAGGGATCGAGTGAATCACAAGGAAGAGATGATTACTGAGAGCTCCCCGTTGATGGAAAAGAACATGGGTAATCCGACCGTTGTTGTTAAGCCCGTGTTTTCCTCTGGAACTCTCTGCTGATGGTTTAATTTCTATTGAAGATACACCAATGTGGAAATACCAGGATTTCAAGGCCCCTGCATTTATCGAACAAAGCAAAGTCATGCAATCGTAGTGATCGGTTCGATTCTCGTACCGTTTGGCTACAATTTTAGAGCTGCAATAGCTGAGGTAGGATTCTCAATTCTCTTCTTATAGAAATGAGTTTTACTCCACTTTTATCTTTTTCTGCTTATCTTTGGTTTTGTAAGGAAGTTGAATTTGGCAGAATGTACATTTGAATGCTCCAATTGCTTGCCTTGAAATAGAATAACACCCAATAATTGAAGTTGAGATAAAGAGGAATGCAATGCAATAAGAATTAGATGGTTCTTTCCTGGTTAATTTTTGCGTATCCATCCTGCTTTCTGGGACGATACATAGATGTACTGAAACTTTAATGCCTTTGGTATTCCTTTTTCAGCAATAGATGTACTGAAACTTTAATCCCTTATTGTTGTTTATTGGATGCACAAATAATTCATTATCTAACGAGTTTTTTGAAGTTGATAATGTCTTTTTGATGGAATTCAAACGTTTCGACATGTAATTTCCCGGTTTTGTCCACGAAAACCCGGTTTAGTGTGAACAGGAGTCATTCAAAATGGTAAAAGATTCGAACAAGTTATTGTAATTATAAAGTGGTTCAGCCAAACTTCCAAATTTCGTGATTTTACGTATGGTCTGTGCACATGTTTCCAGCTGGGGCAAGTGGGTTGATCTGCATTCTACTCTGTGCTGTCCATTCCCTTTTTTCTATTCTGTTTCAGTTTATACATATGTAAGTCTAACTTCAACTAATCTGACTAATCAATTATCTATCAAACAATTGTTTAATTTAACCAATCATTAACCCATAATTAAACAGCATTAACCAAGTCTTAACCTATTTGTCTATGTTACTTGAATGAAACCTAATTTATACAACTTTGGTCTAACACAAATCGAGTTTAATGGATTAATGCTATTTGATGATTAAGCAAATTAAATAAGCCCGTGACTTAATAACTAAAAAGATTAAAAAATAAAATTAGAAAATCGATTAAAACAGTTGAATATAAATTAAATTAATAAACGACGGCTAAAATCTACAGTTGATTAAATTTTAATTCAATTAATATCATCGTCAATATTATTGTGTTTTTAAAGATTATATAGGTTCGAATATGCTTAAACATGTAATAAATTTTGAGTAACAATTATAATATATTTTGCTATTAGAATTTTAAGTAACTCGGAATATCGCTTAGTTTTTTCTTTGATGAAAGAAAAAAAAAAGATTAACTTGAAATGGAAGGAGGAAGGTGTGATTAATTGGCTGTCAAATAACTATCCAAAACCAGAATTACTGGGGCATTCAGTAATATAATCCCGACGACGTTGCTTGCAACATAATCCAATATCGGACAGTCGGTAATATTAATGGTAATTAATTAATCTTAAATTTAATTAATAATTTATAAAAAAGTATTTTTATATTTTTTTCAACACGGTATATGTCCGGCTCATGACAAGTTAATGGGCAGAAAACTCAATTAACAAAAAGACAAATAATCATAAATTATTTAAAAATAATATATTGTTAATATGTCATCTAAACTTTTCCTAAAATATATTTATAATTCATTAGCATGTAACCGCCCACAATTCTTAATTAACTTGCACATTAGCTTTTGTTAATAATTAAATTACCTAATATTATTTATTGGTTAACTGATATCAGTTGTGAGAAGAAATGCTATCTTTTTCTAATTAAAAACGAAATAAATAATTTTATATACAAATATCTTATCATCCTACTTATCATTATTTATTAAATAATTTAAAAAAATAATATTTGTATAAAATATTTTATTTATGTATATCATACATATACGTGATAAATTTATTCTTTTTAAAATATAAATAATAATAAATTGTTTTATGAATCCTTTCTATTACATTGTTTATGAACTCATTATTTGAAATCTTTAAACTCGTTTTTTATATATATTTGATAAATTATAACTTTTAAATAATCAACTACCCATAAAAAATTAAATGTGAAAAAGTAAAATGAATGATTTTAATTAGTAAAAAATATAAATGTAAATAAAAAACGTAAAATAAACGATTTTAGTTATAAAAATTATACATGATGTAATAATAATGAGAATAGATGAAAAAATAATTTTTGGTATATATATATATATATATATTAATGTATAAATTCTATAATAAATTTTAAACTTAATATATATTTTCCCGCAGGGGACACATATTCTAGTTTTAATAATTTTATCTATTAAAAAAAAGTTTTACTAATAATTTTATCATGACCATTTTTTTTCCTCCGGTGCACTGGGGCTGAAACAACAAACAACGAAAGCCAAAAGGGAAAAAAAAGATAGACATAAAAAAGAAGAGAAAAAAACAAGGGAAAAAGCAGGCAACTCTCCATCGTATTTGGCATCGACCTTTCAGGTTTCACGTTCCATGTTTCAAGTGTGGAACTGAATGGTCTATGGTTATTATTTCGATTTTGTTTCAGCTATTCGTGGATTTGAATACAGATTGAAATTCAATTTCCAGCATAAAATATTCGGGTTGACTGGAAATTGAAGAATGGCGGCGCAAAACCAGACCGATCTGTTCGATGCTTATTTTAGGAAGGCGGATTTGGACGGCGATGGCCAGATCAGTGGAGCCGAGGCTGTTGCCTTTTTTCAAGGCTCCAATTTGCCCAAACAAGTTCTTGCTCAGGTCATTTCCGTCTTCTCGTTCGTATTTTTTCATACATATTGACAACTTACCTTTCTTCTTTGGTGGCTCCTAAGGCATAAATCAGATTTGATTTTTTTCTTTCTTTCATTCCGCCAAATTTACAATGTTTCTATTTTATTAGGGTTAGGTGCTATTAATTATTGAAAATGTTGGAGTTCTTCAGATTTGGCTCTAATCGATCGCTTAACTGCTCAGTGGAATCTTTTCCTTTCAATCTGTTGCTTTTAGATGCTAGCAAACTAACTGGCGATTGAGAGAAAAGTATAATGAAAAACACACAATTGACATAGGGTTTACACTAATCTTAACAGCTCAGTGTGTGATTTGAATTCGTAATTGTTAGTGATTTTCTGTCTTTCCTTTTAACTGTCAAATCTGTTGAAATCTGAAACAAGAAGCAGGGTTTTGGTAGTTTTTTTAACCCGAGAATTCTTGTATCTGCTTTGCGTAGGGAGATCTTAGTATGTGGAAACATGGCTTTTTTCCTAGTCGTGTTTTTGTTTATGTTCTGTTCCGTGCAGGTGTGGATGTATGCTGACCAGAAGAAACTGGGTTATCTTGGTAGGCAAGAATTTTATAATGCCCTTAAACTTGTAACTGCGGCACAAAGTAAGCGAGATCTGACACCAGATATGGTCAAAGCTGCACTGTATGGTCCTGCTTCAGCTAGGATTCCTGCTCCACAAATAAACGTTGCCGCCACACCTACACCACACCCAAGGGTAGCAACAGTTACTTCGCAGTCCAGTGGCAACTCATCTGTGCCTTCCCAAAATTCTGCCCTCAATGGGGCACCTGGTCTTGGCAATTTGGGTGTAAACCAGCAGTATGCCCAACCATTGCAAAATCAAGTTGTGAGGCCACCTCAAGCCATGCCTCCCGTCACTTCATCACAAATACAACCAGCACTTGCTGCAGAAGGCGTGCTGAGAGGTGGTAACATGGTCGCTCCTCCTCGTCTTCCAACATCAAACTCCTCAACTAATTGGCAAAGTGGAAGCTCAGGTGGATTCTCAACGGGTATCAGTAACCAAGCTCAAAACCGAAGTGCTAGTCCTTCTGAAGGCCAAGGATTTGGACTTACAGCTTCGGGGTTGACACCATCTATGCAACCAATACCACAAGCAACCCCTGTGCAGATATCCTCTTCTGCTCCAAAACCGAAAGATTCATCCATACCATCCAACAAGTTAGGAGCAGGGGATTCCAAGGCATTGGCGGTTTCAGGAAATGGATTTACCTCTGATTCTCTTTTTGGTGATGTCTTCTCTACAACTTCATCGCAATCAAAGCAAACTTCTTTGGCAACCACATCTTCTGCAACTGACTCCATTGTCTCATTGACCTCTGTTCCAGCTTCTGGGCCCCATTCTTTTGCAAAGTCAAGCCCAGCTCAGTCTTTGCAGGGTACACTTTCTCAACAACCTGTGGGCGGCCAGTATCACCCAGGTCATCCAACAGGGAGACAGCACCAGCAGGCTGCAGCTCAAAACAATGCTGCATCTAGTTCAACTGGGTTTCCCGCTGGACCTGGGAACTTGTCTTCTGGTCAATCAACTCAGTCTCAGCCCCCATGGCCAAAGATGACTCAGTCTGATATACAAAAGTATACAAAAGTATTTGTACAAGTTGACACTGATAGAGATGGAAAAATTACTGGTGATCAGGCTCGCAATCTGTTCTTAAGCTGGAGGCTTCCAAGAGGTAGGCTATGAGCGACTGTCAGCTTTTGGTTTATCATCTAGTAGCTCAATTGTGTTGGTTAAGATAATATTTTCTTATTTTTGAAATCTTATGGTGATAGTGCAATAGATCATGTGGACTCTGCATGGATATAACTGGCAGAGCATTAAGTTTGTATTATGTTTTTTAGTTACTTTTTTGAACAGTTAGTCACAATCTTTTTAACTACCTTTAAGTAGAAAGATGAGCTATCAATGGACATAGCTTTTTTCCAGGCACTACCTATACAAGTACTTCTAATCTTGGGACTATTCTTTTTGTTTCTTTAGAGTGAATTTCTCCTTAAAACCTGAAACAAAATTTTTAGCATCTTTCAAATTTTATGACAGGTATTCATGGTAGAAGTGAACTAAAAACTTTGATGAAACAGAAACATGGTAAAATGAAAATCATGATAGTGAGACCAATGGAAAACAAGAGTTCATGTTGAAGTAATAGAGCCCAAGCCAATTGTAGGTCATAGAGAAGTAGATTTTGTGTGTAAACTTTTTCTTTGTTTCTTTTGAAAATTTCAAAATGAAGAATAAAGAAATATTAAAATTTGAAGCGCAGTTATTCTTAAACACATGGTAAGCTGGTAGGGCCGTAGGGGTGCTTGTAAAATAATGAAATCTATTATTGATTGATGAATTTTTAATCTATTAAAGATAAGCTAATCTCTTTGGTTTACATTAATCAATTTTATTGTTAGAAGTTTTATTGATCAATCATTAAGAACATTCAATGATTTGTGCGTCTTGTGTGTTTCCTTCATACCCTTTGGTTACTCAGTTTGGAAACCATTTTAACAAATTATTTTCATTGAATATTTAGTTAGCAATTTAATGTATTTGAAACCAGTTTGGTTCATTTCTTTTCTATTTTTAATTTTTTTACTACATTAACCTTTTTTTCTCCGTGTAAGCAGTTACAGCTCATTTTTAGAATCCTATAGCTCTCTTAAATTCAGAAATAATTTTGTGTTCCTTTTATAAGGCAATTGCTGTGCCACCTTATGACACAATGGTCATTCTGAAATTATTATTGGTGTTTCAGAGGTCTTAAAGCAGGTGTGGGACCTATCTGATCGAGATAATGACAGCATGCTTTCTTTGAGAGAGTTTTGTACTGCTCTTTATTTGATGGAACGCTATAGAGAAGGCCGCCCTCTTCCTTCAGTGCTCCCAAGTACTCTCGTATCTGATGAGACTCCATCCACTTCTGGTCACCCTCCAGTTCCATATAGAAATGTAGCTTGGGGGCCTGCTCATGGTATTGTTTTCCTATTGTGTCATATTTATGCCGTATTTTTCTTTTCCGTGTTTTCTTCATGGATAAATCTCCTTTTACAAAACATCTTTTATAGGTTTCCTGCAACCACAAGCTACTACTGCTCCACGGCCACTTTTACCTTCTGCTAGGGGAAGACCACCAAGGCCAGTGTCAGTTTCTCAGACTGATGCACAGATGCCACCCGCTCCGCAAAAGTCCAAGGTTCCAGTTCTGGAGAAGAACCTTGTAGATCAACTTAGCCAGGAGGAGCAAGATTCTCTTAACTCAAGGTTCAAAGAGGCAACAGATGCTAATAGAAAGGCATTTCCTCTTCTCTGAGACTTTCTATGAGAATTCCCATGAAATTTCTTTTATTTTTATTCTTCTTTTTCCCAATCAATGCTATAGATGACATCTCAGGTGTAGGGCTGCCATGTATGAAGTCGGTTAGTTCATCTTCATTTTTCGCTATTCCGAGAGATGGTTAAAGTAACCTAGTCTAGGCAATTGCTTGTGAAATGTGATATTATATTAACTGTTACCATTTTCTTTTCTTTTTAGGCTTTATTGTCTCTGAAGTCTGAAGTGCATGGTATTATCTATTGTAGAAATTTGAGTCAGCATCATTTTTCTTTTTGAAGGTTGAGGAACTGGAAAAGGAGATACAAGATTCAAGAGCAAAGACTGAATTCTTTCGTGCTAAGATGCAAGAACTTGTAAGTAAGCTCCTTTTGACTTTATGATTATTGCAAGGCCTTCATCATTCAATTACAGTTGACCTCTTTGGGATTAAAAAAACCCTGCTTTCTGTAATGCTAGTTTGCTAAAGACATAAGAATGCCTTAGACGGGAATCATCTTTGAACTAAATTCTTGTTAAAATGGATAATTTTTGCTGTCTTTGATGTTGCATCTTCAGACCATTGATTTGTTGCCCTTTTTATTTCCACTTGTTGCCACTCGGCAATAGATTTTATATAAAAGCAGATGTGACAATCGACTTAATGAGATTACTGAAAGAGCCTCTGCTGACAAAAGAGAGGTACACTGCCTTTTATTTCTATGTTCCACAATTCAATTCTACTTTCCCCGTGGTGTTTTTTGTTGTTGAGCAGTTGAATTATCCTGTATTTCAGGTTGAAGCATTGGCGAAGAAGTATGAAGAGAAGTACAGGCTGTCTGGAGATGTAGCCTCTAGGTTAACCATTGAGGAGTCCACATTTCGTGATATTCAGGTATTTAGGAGTTTTCTATGTTTTGAGTGATAGCTAATGGTTGATTGGCTTGATGGCCAAGCTTCAATTTCCTTTTGCTGAAAATTTCTTGTGCTTTGCTTTCATTAGAAATTTCTGTCAGATTGACTTGAATCACTTGCAGGAGAAAAAAATGGAATTGTATCAGGCAATAGTCAAAATAGAACAAGGAGACAATAAGGATGGAGCTCTCCAGGTATATCTATTTGTAAATAATTAGATTTGGTCATGGATACTGAAACATGTATGTAAGAGCGTAATTTCTGTTGGCTTGTGCAGGAGCGTGCTAATCAAATACAATCAAGTCTGGAGGAATTAGTGAAATCTCTTAATGAACGTTGCAAACAATATGGATTACGAGCTAAACCGACTTCACTGGTTGAGCTTCCATTTGGTATTATTTCCACTGTCTATGCGTGTGATAATTATTTTATGATGTATGGGCTTTCCCCTATGCTTTGGAGACAAATCACTAGAAACTCGGGGGTTTAGCTTGAGCTAATCAAAGATGGAGTATATAGAGTGTACATTTAGTAAAAGAAGGACAAACTTATAGATGTGGATATTCCGTCCCCAAGTTGGACAGCTCCCATAGACAATAAGGTATGGCGACTTAGGACACAAATTGAGGGATGCATATCTTAGAAGGATAGAGCAAACTATTGCACAGGGTAAAAGGTTGAATTGGAGACCAAAAAAAAAAGAGTTAGAAAGCTTGAATGCAGATCGAGGGCAAATGTTAAGATATGACCACATCGTTTGGAGGGGATAAATAATAATTTGAATAGATCTTGAAGAGAATGTGGTGTGTTGATAAGAATGATTGGGGGAGGACCTGTGTACTCGAGGCAAATATTTCTTTTTAATCTCCTCCAGAAGTTATCATATGTTACCAATGTAATCATGTCACACTTTTTTATTTGCTTTTTAATCTGCATTTTTGCTGAATGTGGTTGTAAGGTTTCCCCTCATTTTCTTTTTTCAAGATGGTAAATTTAAGATGTCTAGAGAGCTTTTATTGGATTTGTTTTCTTATTCAGGATACTTTTTTTTGTGAACATTTCATTTTTCAGCTAATCTTATGTGTTTTTATATAAGCATATACCTAAAGATTTCACTTTATTGTCAACTTTCTAAGGCTGGCAACCTGGAATCCAAGAAGGTGCAGCAGATTGGGATGAAGATTGGGACAAGTTTGAAGATGAAGGTATGTGCTTGTAGGGCATATCTTTTGATGTCCAACCCATTATTTGTTGACCTTTATATAATAATATTTGGCATGCACTTAACAATATGTATAGAATTTGATATGCTACTTTCTTCTGAATAGTCTAATTTGTATTCTATTCTGATGAATCATAACTTGATTCTCCTTGTAGGATTCACATTTGTAAAGGAGCTCACACTTGATGTGCAAAATGTCATAGCCCCTCCAAAACCAAAATCTTCATTAGTTCAAAAAGAAACAGCTTCTGCAACCCCTGACAAAGACATAGCAATTGACCAAAGTGACGATGACCTGGCAAAAACTCCATCTGGAAAACAGGCTGTTACAACTGATAAGCAATCTCAAGCATTCCAGGATTCCCATGGGACAAGTAGTAGTGCTGATGGTTCTCCCCACGCCAAGAAAACTGATGACACTGATAGCTCAGCTCTTGCTAAAGAATCTAGAAGGTGTGTTGTTTAGTTTGCAGTATTATGTAGTTCTCAAGCTACTATTCCTCTTGCATTATTTTCTGCAAGCAGTGAACCTGCAAATGGTTGTAAAGTAGGGATTTGTTTTCTTTTTTCTTCCTTTGTCTTTGATGTTTTAGGTTTAAGGTTTCTTGACCAATTGGTGATATACCTTTACAGTGATCAGGGTGGTGCTGAATCTTTATTTTCGGAGGACAAGAGTTTTGATGGACCTAGCTGGGGAAAATTTGATTCTCAGTTTACAGATCAAGTTTGGGGCTTTGAAAATGAACATGGCAAGGTAAGTGGATTTTTAGTCTTGCAGCACTCATTCAGATTAAATTGCAGGTTGTTTTCTTTCTGAAGCCAAATCAAGAGAATGAAACTGATTTTCTCTATTCAGATTGGTTTTCTTAGTAACTTAGTTGTTTCAGTTCTATTGTCAATGAAAAAGAATTATGTTTCAGTTATGATGAAAATCCTTTTGTTCGGTCTTTTGTCCAAGGCTGAGTATGCCTACAACTTTCTAGTTTAATATCTCAGGACCTTTTAGTGTCAAATTAGTTTATCAAAGACAACCTTATATTATTTTCTCTTTCCTTGAATGTCAAAGTTTCTCTCGTTTGTCTTGATTTCAATATATTTCTTAACAGATGTTTGTTTCTTGAAAAGATTTGTCAGGATTTTATTGAGAATCGCAAATTGGTCTAAAGAAAACTTCTCTTGCAGGAGATGGATCCTGAGAGGCATGATGATGACTCTTTGTTTGGTCTTGGTGGCTTCAATATAAAGCCCATAAAAACACAGTCCTCGCAAACAGAAAGCTTGTTCCCAGGGAAAGGTCCGATTGTTTTTGATTCTGTTCCGAGCACCCCTGCAAACGCTAGTGACGTGATCCATGGGAAGAGCTTATCTATTTTTGCAGACTCTGTTCCAAGCACCCCTGCTTATGCAGATAACATGCTCAAGGGTCAGAGTTCATCCTTGTTTGCAGATTCTGTTCCAAGCACTCCTGCCTATGCGGATAACATGTTCAAGGGTCAGAGTTCATCCTTGTTTGCAGATTCCGTTCCAAGCACTCCTGCCTATGCGGATAACATGTTCAAGGGTCAGAGTTCATCCTTGTTTACAGATTCTGTTCCAAGCACTCCTGCCTATGCGGATAACATGTTCAAGGGTCAGAGTTCATCCTTGTTTGCAGATTCTGTTCCGAGCACTCCTGCCTATGCGGATAACATGTTCAAGGGGAAGGGCTCTTCTATTTTTGCGGATTCTGTTCCGAGCACCCCCGCTTACCATTATTCCCAACAGAGTTTTGGTGAAGGATCAGAAGCTCATTCATTTGACAGCTTCTCTAGGTCTGATTCATTCAACATGCAAGACAGTGGATTGTTTCAATCCCGCAGCTTCGACAGGTTTGATTCCATGCGCAGCTCAACAGACTTTGATCAGGGTTATGGGTTTCCCCCATCGAGGTTTGACTCATTTAACGCACGTGATCAACCTGATAAATCACTGTCTAGATTTGATTCCATTGGAAGCACTACAGGGTTTGATCATAGTCACGAGTTTGCATCATTTGATGATAATGATCCATTTGGGTCAACAGGGCCATTTAAGACTTCACTGGAGAGTCGGACGCCGAGGAGAGATTCCGATAAATGGAGTGCTTTTTAGGTATAAATAAATATGATATAATACAATATAAATGCAATTAAATGGATGCTGAGGGGTGTTTCGCGTTATCATGCCTTGTAGGTCGAGATTTTGGTTTCTTGTTCGGCGGCTTTGATTCTTTTGTTAGTATATACAGTGACTCAATAAAGGAGTGGTTGTGCCAAAGTCTTTTTATTTTCTTCCCTGCATCTTTATACAGTTCCCGTCTTTTGGTTTAGTTTCTGTAGTTTTAGTGGTTTTTCTCCTGGTTTATGGATGGGTCTGGACTTACGGAATGTTGTTTCCAAATAGTCGGTGATAAATCATTGTATGCGATATGAAACGTAAAATTTGTATAAACTCATTTTTCATGCACTCATTGATCTTCTTATGGTTTTGATTTTATTTTTGGATAGTAATCCTTTTTCTTTCATTATATATATGTGTGTTGAATGTTTGTTTTTTGTCCTGATGGCATATGGTTGAGGATGATTTTGTTGGCAATATTTTGATTTCATAAGTTACAAACATCTCACACTTGGTGACAGAAGTTTCCTGCAAATGCAATTTCTGAGGCGGAGATTACAATCAATTTAGCTCCTCATTTTCTACTGAATTTGTCACAGGTTTAAAATTTTCTTAAAATTAATTACGGGGATCAAAATGAAATTTTAATTAGAATCGTAGACCAAAATGAAATTTCGATTAAATTTGGATCTAAATTCAGAAAGTAACTAAAATTAAAATTTCTCTTATGCAATTATATCATTTTTTCCAACTGCGGGTTTAAAAGCTCCAAAAACAAGAAACTTTCCATTTTTGGAAAGTTTAAACCTTTCTCTCTCTCTCTAACTTTTCCTCTTTTAGTAGGAAATCTTTAATCAACGTTTTGTCGTCTATCGTAGCTCCGTTTTTGACACCTTCACACCATCTTGTTTCTTATGTCATCTCGAGTCCACTGATGTATGTCTTGTTTTTGTTGCCGCCGGCGTGTGAAGTGATGAGGAAAGTCAAGTTTTCGACGCTGCGAAATCGAACTTTCTGTCGTTCATTGTTGTGAACCGAACTTAATAAGTATCTTAAAATCCTTTAAAAATGCATATAAGAATTTTTATAGAATTTTTCAAGCCCCATGAGCCCTGCACGCGTTGTTGTTGTGCATGGGAAAGGTCCACCACCCGGTGTGCTTTTAGAAACGGGTCGACCTAACTCGTCTGCCCGATTCGACCCGACCCTCCTGACCCGCTCAGCTCAACTCCTCTGGCCCAAGCCCAAACCAGCCCAACCGAACTGGGTCAACCGTTGATCGTTGACTTTTTCCGAAAACTTCTATATTGACGTTTTTCAATGTCTTGAGTTCGATTTTGTCAAATTCTAACCGAAAGGCTCGAATCGAGTCCGTTAATATGAAAATGCTTAGTATTTTCATATTTTTGTTTATTTATTTGAGATTTGATTATGGAATTGATTCGAGTATATATTTTTATAAAGGTACTCGTGTTTCCCCCGACCGAGGGTCTATTGATCCGGTGCTTTTCGTCCTTCAGATCAACACGATACGTGTTCTTCGAGAGTTACTCGTAGGTTTCGTAAATTGTTTAAATAGAGGTTATTACTATTCATATTAGGATTCTGATATAAATTTTCCGATTTGTATGATCTAGCAATGCCGTTGATTATAATCGACAAACCTAATATAGGCTTCCTTATCAAACTACTCAGACCGGTACAAATGTGTTTTCTTATGGTGTTACGTTACTGTTTTAAATTATCTATATGAACTGTTTTAGATTTCTGATGATACTGAATATTTTTATGACACGATACATGATTTTCTGACTACCGTTTATCTGATATATGATTTACTGTATATTTTTTTATATGATATTTGTTTATTGTATTTTTGTATATGATTTCTGAATATGGAATACTTTCATGTTTTAATGAATTAAACTATCGTTTTCACTCGAATACATACATGTTTTTTACTGTCATTGGGGGTATTATTGGAGGAAGTATCTGAGGCCTAGTCTATGACTTGTAAGACCTTACCGCATGCTTCTCTACTTTTGAGCACATGGTAAGTCCTTACTGCAAGTCCTTATGCTATATGTATAAAGCACTTACCAGGTGTACAAGTAGGTGTATGGTTATAGAGAACCTACACATTATGGTGATCGGATGGGAGTAGTGCTCATATTTTGAAAACATGTTTGATGAACTGATTTTTACTAAAGTATTTTATATGTATGTTTTTATACACCGCAATGAGCACACTGAGTTTTTTTTAGCTCATTATGTAAATTTTAACCTTTTCAGATAGTAACAGACAGTAGACTAGCAAACTTGGCATCAGGATGACCAATTACCCCTCATTTTTTGTACCATTGTATATCCCTATATGCCCTATTTGTTATACTTTGGTGACACGTGTTTTTGCTACTGTTTTGATATATTTGTATTATCGATATTTTGTTCTGTATATGTTTTATACGTTTTTTTCGATATATGTATATATATATTTATCATATGAGTCTCACTGATGGTAGTTTCATATTATATTGATATATGGATTTCAAAGTTATTTTAAATATGAAAAAAACTTCTGAATACGATATGTGGCTGCATAGATTTAGTCATAACGTATAGGTCGGGTATAGGGTTACAAAATTTTAAAATTTATTCCTTCAAATAGAATAAAGACAGTCAAGCCAACACTATTTTTGGCAAAATCCACGAAATAGGCGATCATAGACGACAAGTGTTTTGAATACCAACCGCTAACATTGAATTGGAAATCTTCACAGAAGGGGGGTATCAAATCCGGAAGCTAAATGAAGAGCTTCTTTCGAACGAGGCTGATATGAGTATCTTCATCCGGAGGCACGCCTAATGAGGTGGGTATTTCGTCGTGCAGTTCCTTGATAATGTCGAAAAGGCAAGAAGCAAAAAAAAATGTTGTACAACGCATGGTAGGAGTATGGCGAGTGGGTGGAACTTGGGAGTTTTGAAGCCTACCGAAAGGTATGTATGCTTGTCCTGATTTTCGGTCTCGCATATGCTCGTGACTTGGGACGAGTCTTTCCACTAAAACCCTGATGTACAAAATGACATACATCGTAGTGTTTTTTTTTCGTAGTTAAGGTTTGATAATACTTTAAGAAAATCTGCGATTCGTCTCATTTATTCTTTGTATACCACCTCAGAATTATTCTAATTAATAATTTGTAATATGGGGTTATTTATCTCGTCTGGTATATACATAAAAGTCTTCCCTGATTAAAGTCTGATAATACTTTAAGAAAATTGGCGATTTCGTCATTTTTATCCTTCATAGAGTATTTCAATATGATTTTTATATTTCGGAGTCATTAATCTCTTTCCAAATTTTTCTTTAGAACTTCCCCCCCCCCCCCTAATGAATGATTTATATACATTGTTAGTAGTCTGTTACATTCACAAGCATTTCGTCTCACTTTAGAATACGAAATGTGACATTCTCTTTTGTTCAATCTCGTAATACTCTTGTGACAGATCCACATCCGCATTTGGTTCAATCCGACTATCCAATTCATTGGAACATTTAACATGATATTAGTCGTTTTGTCATGAATTATCATTACTTCCTCTCAAAAAGAATTATTCTTACCATTTGAAGAACTAAATCTTACCATCACGAGTTATTCAAATTTAGCTGCTACTGTGCCTGTAACTCAATTCAGTTAAAGGTTTGAAGTTGCGTCTATACACAGTCTTTTTCCGGCCCAGGAGCTGCGGAAAGGTTTCAATCTTATGCACTGATAGATCTACGATTGCAAAATACTTTTAACAATTTGAGCCCTTTGGCTGGATTAAAACACTAATTTTTTTCTCCATTAATGTCCAATTGTACACAATTGCTTCGACAATGCAGCAAAATGATCTGCAAAGTTTAATAATTCTGTATCTAGGATTAAGTTTAAACTGTTAAATCTCCACCACCCAACACCATTTTCTTACAACCTTTTCTAATACACAAGTAATCGTGTTCTTTAGATGTGCAGACATTTAATCATCAAAGTATAACATAACCACAGTAGTAGGACTAGGAATTCATAATTATTAAACACCAATTCAGAAATGAAGCAGTGAATTGAAATAATCTTTGGAAGTTGCAGAAATCATCTAAACACGCATGTCAAGGTTTTCGCACACAGACAATACGTCAAACAGCAAAGATGCACCAAACAACAAAGCAGTAACATGAAGACCGTCTCAAGTTTTTAGATTGAAAAGAAAATGAAGAATCTAATCCAAGTCCTTGACCACTTTAATCCCCATAGTATTAGCAGTCCCGATACCCGCTGCCTTCTTCAGGTATACCACGTGACGGATTGCTTAATCTTGGCAATCTCATAAATGTGTCTGACGGACAACGTGGTGGCGATCACGTGGCCTGGTCGGATGCTTCCGGACTCGATACCCGCTGCCTTCTTCAGGTATACCACGTGACGGACGGAGACTTGACAGTGAACTCAAACGTGTTGTCTTTGAAGGCGGTGATGGTGACTGCCATGGGAGTGTCGGGCTTGTACTTTTGGGTTCGGGCATTGAAGTCCTTGCAGAAGGCCATTAGATTGAGCCGGTACTATACAAGGGCTGGGCCTACAGGCGGTGCGGGTCGCGCTCCTCCCGCCGGCATCGTCAGCCTGATGGTGGCTGCCACTGGTCGCCGTGTTAGGATCTCTTTCAACGTTGACATGCCTCTCTGATTTTGCTTACCCTACTATTGATCCCCTCAATTTCTCAGATGAAGCTCGTGGAAAGTGTAAATATACCGGTAAATCGTAAGCGGTTTTCGTTTAATTATGGTTTTAGTCCCTTATAAGTTATAATACTAAAGTTTAATATTTAATTTTTCAATGTTTTTAATTTTCAAATCCATTTTACTATCTACGAGTTTTAGTCCCTCATTATTCTAAAGTTAGTAATTAGTATTACTATCAATTTGTACAGATTAGGTCTCAACTCCCAGTCTAATAGAAGGGTTAAAACAAAATTTGACCTTTTGCTTTACTTTGGATTTCCTGAATATTTTGGGTAAACTGTGCATTAGTCACTCAATTTTTATCATGATCTGTTTTGATAATTTAACTTTTAAAATTTTCAACTTATTATCCAAATTTCATTTTTAGGTCACTCATAGTTAACCCTTTAATGCCATTTGATTTTTCTTTGATAAATTTATACAAAAGCTTCCTGCAACTTTCTTCTCGATTTTTAATTTTTAGACTCACCTTTAATTTATCGACGTTAAAATATTTTTAAAAATTTGAACACTAGAAGGTCGAGAAGAAGAAAAATATATATTTTAATTTTACATTGATTATACAGTAGATATTATAGATCAAACTTAAATAAGAT